TGTGCTGCCATTGACTAATGGTTAGTTCACTGGTCACCGGTTCATTCGGATCTCTTTGTGCAGCAAGTGAAACAATGATGTATCTACGGGACCCTTATGCCGTTATTAGCTTTTGTTTGCTGAGCTTTTGTTAACACCAGATGATGCTGGATGTTTTCGCTGGAAATAGTGTCGAATAAAGTTGTAAAAGCGTTGCTCGCTTTTCTGGAATACAAAATCAATCGTCGCATTTGCCCATGACGTGACTGTCGGGTGGTGGCAGGTTTCTAGTTGAAAACTTGACACTATACCTGCATGATCTAACCCAAAAGGAACCAATTATGAATCGCAACACGCGTTGTGAAAGCCTACATATGAAATTTATTAATTTAACCAAATCACCCTAAATATACCACATCTCATTGAATCTCCACAGCTAAGCAGGTTTGGGCCTAGTTCGAACTTGGATGCAAGCCTGCCTGAGAATGCCAGATGTTGTTGGAGTGTTATCATCTCGTTCGTATGTATGCATGATTAGTTTTGTTATGGGTTCTCTGGTTTCCTCCCACGTGCCCAAACCACTCATTTGTGGCATTTGACCAAATGTAAAGAATGCTTGTCCCTAATGAAAAAAGAAGATTTATCGAAACTCTGAGACTTTTCAGGGTAATTTAAAGAGTGTTATTATATTCGTGTTCTCGTTCATTTCATGAAGTGATATTTTTTTTTTCCTCCCACTTCCCGAAATGTACAATAAACAACTTCTGCAAAACATGTCTCGATTCCCTTTCAACCGAGTGAGAACCAAGAGAAAGTTTGCATTGAGTCATGTTATTCGGTTAACGATAACGGGCATTTGCGCTAAATATGTAAGCTTTTTCCTCAAATTATACGTTACCTAACTTAATTAAATATATTATCGATGGTTGAGAACAGCTGTGAAATTATCCACCAGTTCTGCTCGGCCCCTGACTGTTGATCTGACCAGAAGTACACATTGAGCGACTGTCGCTCAGTTTCTGATTAAACAGCATTTGTACAATAAATGAAAGACATACTCCTCAAACCTTTAACTCTTCTTTCCCGATATTTCATAAAGACATTTGCAACACCGCTGCAGAAGCTGCCTCCTCGTCCATCTGTTCAAGTGCACGGGAGCTTGTAGAATGCACAGGAAGCGAAACAGTGTTGTTATGAAACTGTTTTTTTTCTTAGAACTGCTTTTTTGTGTTTAGTTTGTCCTTCCCCTGCACCTCTGATTAGCACGGTTCGCTACATACGGTGAAAAATAATTTCCTCTTATATACATACATACGTCATTCAGTTCATGAGAACGAGCATTAGAACACTAATTACAAAATATTTTCCGCAATCTCTACTCTGCTTGGTTGGATAAAATATACGTAAAAAGTAACAACACTGAATAAAAATAATAAAATATGTATTTATACACGAGGAATCAGATGAGTGATAAAGCTCTTTTTCACGGATGTCCACTATTGCGAACTGCCTCCAAATTTCCCCTCCGATCCATCCGTTACGCTAACCGGACACCTCAAACGGATGGGAAGTGGGCAAGGAAACAGTGTTGTTGATGGTGGCGTTGGCGGTGCGGGTCACTCGACTTGCCGGCCTTCTCCTTCTCAGGCCCTGCTGGAGCAGTCGCGCGAGGTGCTGGCCGGCCTGGAGGCAATGGTGGAGTGCGTGGACGTCCTCTCCGAGGCATGCTCCGTGGAGCGCCTAGTGCAGCAGGTCTCCGAGCTGGACCAGCGCACCACGACGCAGCACGGCACGCTGCAGGCTCGTCTGCGTCGCTTGTGCGGGCCCAGCAAGGTGAGCGCCACTGCACACCATCACATCACTGCCATGGTTCACCAATAATAATAATGGAGTTCAATGATAATACATTGGTACATTTGCTATTCGCGCCGTTCTTACAGCGCAGGACTATCGTGAAGGTTTTGTGTTTCACGGATGAAAAAAACCTGCCAGTGGCAGGTGTGGGGGGTGATATTACTGTGTAATTCAAGTTGAGTAACCTGTGGGTAATTTAGTTCAAATTTAATCAAATTTGGAACATGATGCCAGCACACAAATGGGCCTCCTTTTCGAGTGAAATAAGATGGGGCCCATCTTGAAAATCCTCCATGAACGGACTGCGCGTTTTTTTATTTAAATTGTTTTAACTTTAATACACAAGCAGTATTAACCAAGGTGGCCTGTAGAACTTAGCGCAGCGGCGAACGCGCCACCGCCAGGCCCACGGCCAAAACAAAACCCCCTTGATCGACGGGGCATGGGAAATGACCTCGTCCAACCAGTCCGCGGATTGACCAAAAGAGATGTTGATTGAAGCTGCGGATGCGTGGGTAAGGCTCACGTGCCGACCGGGCCCTTCTTTGTGTCGCGCAGGATGAGTTGGCGGCAATGGAAACGGAATTCCAGCTGCTGGAGTCGCAGCTCTCCTCCCCAGCACTGAACGCCTTGTGGACAAGCTCCACAGCTCGCCCTCCGAAGGGTACAGCCGCCCGCGTTCTGTTTGTTCAATTTCCTAGTTTTGTGGGGGTTTTTTATTCGAAACAATTGATCACCGTGCTTGCTTCAGTTCAAACGGTAGGCGAAGTCACGCTTTGAGCAGGAGACACTTCTCAGTAATGATTATTATCTTTAGTGTGGTTGTTTTTTTGCCCTGACATTATTGCCTGGGTCTTACCCGGTAAGATAAAAAAAAGTGTTTAGTTCAGTTCTTGGCGAGATTGTCAATGTATTTTGAACACCTACAAGCAAGCAGTTGCTTCGCATTCTGGGATTTCGGGTGTGGCCAGACAAGCACACGAACTCTAAAACGGAGCAACCCTTTATTCGCAGTCAGGTGACGGCTCACTTCTGTACATTTCTCCTCTTTTACAATCAATGCTGTATATAGGTGTGTGTGTATATATATATATATTTCGTTAAGTTTTAAACGTACTGCATCTCAACCTTGGTTTGATAGCAAATCGGGTCAAGCTTGCCTAAGACGATAACTAACGTTATAACCAACGTTATCGTCTTAGTCGTTTTCAAGGTCCTGTAACTTCAACCAAAAGTATTTGTTGCGCAATACTGACTTGTGGTGACCTCAAACTTGCATTTCATAAGTGTGCTATAATTCGTGGCTCCAATTGCGCACCTGGTGTGTGAAAAACGTGTCTTGAGCATCCTTCCGTGCCAACGTAACAACGTGCTTAATGACGAATGTGTCGAGAGATGTTTGGTAACAACGTGCCGTGCTGAGTGAATGCAGGTGGGATGCATTGCACCCTAATGAACCCGCCAGGGCTGGATCTGTACAAGCTAGCCTTGGCCACATGTTTCCCCCCCAAATATTTAGAGTCTTTGGGATCGCAGCCATTCACAGTTGCACAACGATGTGCATGTAAATTATATTCCACCCCCCAGTTTATATTTTTTGCCCGTAAAAATAACAAACCAGTTCGAAGGGTTACCCCACGTTTATTTATCTTGTTCATTATTGTTTGCACAGTCTTCTGTAAATTTTGCCCAACGAGAACAAAGCACGATTATTCACCCAATGAACTACGTTCGTGTATTCCCATCTCTGTAATAGATTAACTCTGCCGATGCCCCCCCCCCACACTCATGCCCGTCTCTCTTTCCTCCACCTATCCCCACCACCCCACTCTCCAGCGGCTCTTGGACAAGCTCAGCACTTTGGCAGAACAAGTGGCTCAGCTCTCGAGGGCTGGCACATGTTCCGTTCTCCGAGAAGCGATCGTACATCTGCAAGATGTGAACGAGCAGCAATGTGCTGCACTGCAGGTGTGTTGATAAAACCGAGAGGGAAATAAAAAATGCAAGCTGGCAACCCCCAGGTCATTATAACAGAATCTAACATTAAAAATAATAGTTATTTTCCTAATTTTATCCCGATGTGCTCTTCAAAATGTCATGAGAAGAGAATCAATTAAAGTATCTCGCAGAGCAGTGCAACCTCGTGTTAGAGAATGGGTCCACAGAATCGGGTGTCACAGAGCTACCTCTGAGATACCCTCAAGGTGACCTCTGGTCCTACAAGTAGAGGGCAGCACTTCCGCACCCACTCTGCATATGAGAGCAATGCTCGTAACATTGCAGTAAAACCTATATTTTATTCCTCCAGAGCTGGAATTTTTGCTAAATATGCAGAAGAAAATTTGTATATGTTTCGTGCGGTCATTGCTGACTGTACACTACGCTTGTCGAAGCCTCGATTTGGAAAGCAATTCGATCGCGGTAGGAAATGTGTGCCTTAAATAAAACGCCAGCGCGCAAATCGACGCATACATTCGGCACGCTAGTGTATACCCAAGCTTGCTTGTTCTAACACACACATGCGCATCGCCCTAACACGCAGTGCAATATTATACTTGACTTTCATTAAGTAAATTGTTAAGTGCTTCAATTGTAATGTTGCCCCACAAAACTATCCAGATATGGTCACTGGTTGTTGGTAAGCGGGGGTGGTAAGTTTTGCCGCGATTGGTTTTAGGGAGTTTTGTTTTTAAGAATAGAACAAGTTTCCATAATCAAATGGACGGACAAACGGACATAATATTTTCCAGGCATCGCAGTAGATAGCCTTTTAATAGCTTCTTTCAAAACTATGGCTTAACCAAGCAAGTGCTAAAACTAAAAATAAAGATATACATTTAATCGCGTGAACTTATCCGTGCATGCCAACGATAATGCTTTGTAACGAATTAAAGGTTGGCAAGCAGAGTGGGGGAGAGATGGTTTTGCGTAACAAAAATAATAAAAAGTAATGTTGAAATAATAATAGATTATTTACAGGCTTATCTTAGTTTCCATAAGTGTGTACGGTACATTTTATCCCCTGGCTGTCCCATTTCCACCCTCCCCACCACCGCAAGAAAAATGTACCCCCCCTTGAGGCCAGCGTCTTTTCGTTTTAATGTTTTCAGGCTGCGCTGGCCAAGGCTGAGTGGCGTGCAGGTGAAACGTGTCGGCTTCAGACGCTCGCCGCCCAAGCCGAGGAGGAGTTGTGGATCCTTGGTGCTTCCAAACACGGCGACGCTCCGCGCGTAGGCGTACGCAAACTGGTAAAGCCGTGGTTCACCGTTGCTCAACCTGTTTTAGCATTTGGCCAAAAAAGTTAACCGTGACAGGGACACGCACGCAATGGCCTACTTCTTTAGAATGATGTCGGGGGTTATCTTTGAGGCCCACTGTGGTGAAGCAGACGGCACACAATGGTCGACCATCGTCCGAATCGGGACCAGGCTTTGCCGATGCGGCCACCCGATGCACGAATGGAGCATCAAAGATTCGGCGGCCTGCGAGTGCGGCCACGAATCCCAAATCATGGACCGCATCGTAAACACTCTGCTGCTGTCTTCAGTCCTTTGAAGGAGGAATGGACAGACAATTGAGTGGATAACAAATGTAAAATTATATCTTTTAATCTGCTACTATTAATCCATACGAAAGAAGAAGACCGCTGTTCACCATTACTCGTGTGCACTAATAATTTTTTTAGCGGTGCCCCAGCCATTGCTGCCACCCAAAGGAACCCACCTGTCCCTTCACACTGCTCTCCTCACTTCCTGCGCAGAATTCCTCTTCCGGCTGAGCCCCCTCAAACCCACCTGCCATGCGCGGTTTCCGCCAGCCCAGAGTTCTCGTTAAGATCTGGTAGCATCCACCACTGTTTGCGATGAGACCGGCCTTCTAAGTTTTTGCCAGGCCGCACTTCCCAACCTTCTGTCTAGACCTCTCAGCCTGCAGCTAAAATTGGCTGCGTCACTGGAATATTCATTGTCGCGTTGTTTTAGCTGACGGACGGGCTTAATTTAAATTTCCCGAGTTAGCGCTACGATGCGCGGCTGCCGATTTGCAAACTTGCATGGACACATAAAATATAAATAGTTCTGTCGTTATTTGGGGTGGAAGTGGGGGGGGGGGGTTATTTATGTACAAACAGCACGCTTTATTTTTTTGCGTAGGCACGGCAGGAATGTGGCAGCCGTTAAGAAACCGGAGGCTGTTAAAAAAAATTAAAGTGGGGGAAAAAAATCGCTGAAAGAAACGCACCCGTTACTCCCCCTCCCACCATCCCACCCCTTGCCCCCCTTCCCGCTAACAGCCATGCACTTTCCACAACCGCTGTGGTGTTTGCAGTAAAGGGCCTCGAGTGATTGTCGCAGACGCCTTGGCGTTTTTGACCATTAACGATTTGCTTGTTTGGCGAGACGGCCGACGGTAAAATAAATAGAGTCATATTCTGTTGTTAATGTGATGTTAATGTGAGCCCACTGCCTATCAAAAAAAAATTCGTTCATGAAGTCATCCACATATACAGACACAAACACAATTTCAACCGAGAGGATGGGTACAAACTCGGCGATCATTGGAAAGACATCATCAACCAGTTTAAGTCATCACTGGCTGTGATGTTCCCATCCTGCCACCTTCCGATGTTGTTTTTTTTTTTCCCCCGTGGCTTCGGCTCTCCCATTTCACATTAACAGGTTGCATTTGTCGTGCCAACGTGGCCATCCTTCAGACGCCGACCTCAACGCAGCGGCGGCTCTGCAATCTACCATTAACATGCTAATCTCTCACATTAACATAACTAGCCCTGCCCACTTCGTTTATGACCCTTGGACTACACACATTTTAAACCTTTAAAACAGTCTGCAGTCAGCAGCTTTCCCCTTCTTTTTTAAATCCTTTATATTAAGTTCACTTGCTTGCTTACGACCGTGCAAATCTTTCTGTCGTTTTTTAACCCACTTCCCGTGATCCAATCGTTGTGCGTGACAATGTATTTTCATGAAAAAAAATTCAAAAATGTTACACTTTTTAGGAAAAAATAAATTATATTGAATTACCAATTGCTTAATGGTGGCAGCCATTCATCTGACCCATAGGTGGCAGCCATCTCAAGCCAGAGGACGAGAGGACTCTAGCCGCCACGCATATAAAGGATTTATAGTGAAAAACTTTGTTTTTACGGGTACATTTTTTCCTCCTGATGACGATCGCTTGTGTTGTGATCGAAACGTCGTTGTTTTTTTGTTTATTTTCTTTTTATTAATCTCCTATCTACCCAAAGAATATGAATTCCTGCAGTCACGAAAGCTTTAAGTCAAGATTTAAAACAGGTCATGTTACATATTCTTGGTTCTTTCGGTAAAGTCACGTAGAAGGGAAAAACAATACAATAATACAAATAAAACTATGCAATTCTCACGACGTTTCGATTGCAACACAAGCAATCATCATCAGGTGTGAAAACAACAGCAAGAAAATTTGAAAAAAGTGTGAGAATTGTATTGTTTTATTTTTATTATTTTTATTATTTCATTGTTTTTCCCTTCTACGTGACTTTACCGAAAGAACCAAGAATATGATACCCTGCAGGCACGAAAGCTTTAAATCGAAATTTAAAGGTAATGTTACGGCTAGTCGATTGACAATCCTGCGTTGTGTGTTATTTTTTTGCTGTCTCGAACCCTCCATTTGTCATGTTGATCTCTCCTCGCTCGAAGGTGTGCTACGTTGCAGGTCGCAGAAGTGTTATTGCAAAGTGTGCCGATGTTCATCGGGAATCTCGTTAGATCTCGCAAGCTGAGCAGTTTTGGGCCTGTATAGTGTCGAGACGGACAGCCACCATGCATGGCAGGTTGTTATAGGCTCCAACCGCGCTGCTATGTGCTGAGCAGCAGAGGGAAATGCAACAAAATCCATTGTTGTAATGTACTGCTCTCCCATATCTTTGCTCCCAGCGTTCACCGACTCGGACTAACCAGCCTGGTGAAGTCTGTTCAAACAACCCCCCTGGGTGACCCACACGGCATACACAGTGATCCTCATCCAGCAAAAAGCTCCGCACGTGTACAGTGCATATCGTTTACTTACAGCACACAGCGGTATAATGATGTAACGCAGTCGTAATAAAATGACACCCCGGAGGCCCGTCGACATCGCTTAAGGCCTTAAGTGTTGATATTGCTTGAGCAGTGCACAAAGGAATCCTCAAACGTTATTTTCCCCTCTTTGCAAATCGTGCGGACTGTGTGTTGACAGACGGAGGAGATCTCGTGGGACTGAGCAAAGCGATTTTTAAAATGGAGAAGCAGAGAGAGGTGGGGGAGTTTTCCCACCGATGCATTGCGCAACCTCTTTTTTTTTCTTGCAACGCCGCAGATGTTTTAACAACATCGGAGGAATCGTCTTGCGCGGTGCGGTTCCGCGTTTTTTTTGTCATATTTGACAATGACCATTAAATGAAATCTCCTTCGGAAGTAAAGGTGTACCACCTTTTGATTGGTAACGACCACAAAAATAGCTACCCCTCTCACCCATCCACCCACGGTTTTTATTGGAATTTTTTTTTATCCCTATGGTCTTTATTAATCTTTGAGCGCATGCCAGCATTTAATTTAAAACAATTAATACGATTTAACAAACACTTGTAGGCACATTGAAGTAAATTAAGTCTTCCATTTGCCTCTGCACATGAGCGTGATATGTTTTAATGTTTTCCAGCTGCATTTTGTTTCGGCAGACAAATGCTGGACAGGTTTCAACCCTCACTTAAGTTGGGGGCCTGAGCTCAATTCCTGGCCGCAGCTGGCAGTGGAGAGTGGAATTAGAACTGGTGCTTTGCACACCTAGAGTTGCCGCCTTTGTGTTATGTAAAAACCGGAACACGTCGTGGGAAGAAGAGTAATCTCGCAGTGCCATCATCTAGTGATGTATTTGTATTAATGCACATTTGACAAAAAAAACCTGGACTTTTAATGTCCTGGGAAGACTGACCGATTTCCCAGGACAGCAGCTGCCTCTACAAGAGGACGATCCTTGGGAAAGCAGGACGGGTGGCAACCCTGCACCCCGAACCTCCAACGTCACCAACATATGCTGGTCAATGTGAATTGTTGAAGATGTCATTCCACTTGATGTTAGTTGTGGTTAGAATACAGCTCAGATCGGCGGTTTGATAGTTGCAGCATGCTATCCACTCGTGCCACTGCTTCAAAACGAAGCCATAAAAAGATGTTGGATCTTATTGCGTGCATTTTACTTGAAGCTCACAATCATGCAATTATTCTCGCACGTGCCGTTCATTCACACAAATATTGAGTGCAGTTTTTTGTAATTAGGGACTGCGAAGGAGGTGTAAGGATAGCCAAATGATGCCAAATAAACCCAATTAGTCGGGATCGTTACGCCAATTACAGTTATAGCTATTTTCGTATTGAATGCACGCTGAGAAAAAAATGAAGAGCTCACTTTACGTCGGAGTTGGCTCCAGAAATTACTCCTCACTTTTCATTATCACAGAGGTCTGTCAACTCCGTGCCGCGGATTTGCGTTGCTTCACAGAATATTATTTATTTATTTAGTTGTTTGGAACACTGCATTGTGATCATGGCAATTAAACTCCGCGTTCGAGTCGAGCCAAAGTGCCTTCCCGCTCTAATAAGCAATGGGATGGTGCTCATCGCAGTTGGCGGCTCTGATTTATTTGCCTCTGAAGGATTTATTGCAATTAATTCAATAATTTCAATATTTATTTCAAAATGGACACAGCAATAATTTGTGTTGTGAAATAATAGTAATAATATATCTCGACAGCATCTTTTTGACATCAATACCATTAAATAAATTAACATTTACAAATATAAATCAACCCTTTGGCAATCCACTGCTGAACGAAGACCTTCCCACACAATGTTGATCGATAACTGCGGTTTGGTGAAAGGAGAGCCTATGAACCGTTTGAGGTATCACTCTAATCGAATCGGTCACCGGAGCGCAGTCGCTAACCGCTGTAACACCACTCCACGTTAATTGGCAAGGCTGCGGAGCGGTAAATGAGGGTGGTGGGTGAAGACCCAGCCGTGGTTGGGTCGGCATACAGAGGTCGTCATGGTTACTTTGACATGCTGTTTAACCCGTCAAAGGATTGCTGACCTGGCCGTAAGCCCTCTGCCTATCACCACGGCCCCCACGTCGTCACGCTGCTGCACGTACTCCCTGTGGTCGCGTGGATTTGTCTCCGGGTCCTCCAGTTTATCCCTCCTTATTTAAAACGTGCATTTAGAGTATTTGGCTGCTATCAATTTCCACGTGATAAGTCACTTCGTTGAGCGATCATTTGTGGCCAGGTCGCTTCTCAAAAAGAACTAATAGCTCCGTGGGCCTTACCTCTTAAAATATAAAAATGATTTAGTTTTTTTTTAAATATATAGTTTACCTACTTGGTGGTGGTTGCGATATCCAGATTCTCTCTCGCACAAAACCACGCTGTACCCATGCGTCTGCATGTGTGTGCGTCTCGGATTGATGCAGGCACTGGCGAGGCGAATACGAGGCTACTGGGAGAGCATCGCTGGATTGACAGCCAAGGGCGACCTGGTCAGGAGACGATCCCGGCACCCTGCCACAATGGTGAATGCCTAGCCAGACCGTCTGGGTTATTTGGTGCCTTTACACACTCCCGCGGCGAGGCTGAAGAGGGAAGCATACTTTACAAACGTCTGTGGGCTTGGCATTCATAGAGGCAAGCGAACAATACATTGTAGAGTGTTAACAAAATGAGGTCGACTCTTCATATTTGGAGGTCTGTAGTATGTTAAACAATGCCAGCCAAATAAACCTTGTGTAATGTTGCGTTCAATATGACATGGGTAATTCTTTTTTACTTGCGCAACGAAAAGATTTAGGTTTTAAAGGTCGCGCTGCAGAGCTCGCCGACGTGTTTTCAGGGTCTTGCCGCGCATCGTATGGCACGATGTCCAAAGTTTATTTTTTACTCCACTTGCTGGGAGCTTCAGCAACTGAATTGACACACGTACGGTGAAACCTCTGACATCGTGTCGAACAACATTCAGTGCAACAACCCCCTGAAAATACGTCGGAGAGCTAATCAGAAAACTTGCGAGGCATCGCCTGGGATAGGGACCGGATCATTTAGTGAAGTGCTCGCTCAATCAGACATTGTGGTGCACTTTAATGGGCAACAAAGCACAGCTGAGTCACATCATAATTTTAAAAAATAACATTGCCGGCCTCCACATCATGACCCCTTTCTGTACCTCTCATTAAGACAGCTGCTGGCTGGAAATCCCTCTCTTGTGCCAAATGGCCCTTAATCAGCTGGCCCCTGCGGATTTCTGCAAAGCCATAAAAAGGGGAATAAATCGGCGCAAATCAACTTTTGCTGATTCCAATTATATCTTCGGCACATGCAGTTCTGTACATTTTTAAGGACCCAACACCACACACCATGTGTACTGTGGCCGCTCTCAATGATCGGCCGTAACACAAGCTATGCACCGATGACGAGCAGCCCTGTGGGTGCCGTGTGTGTGTGTGTGCGCGCGCTATTTGTGTGTGCCGTGTGTACGCGCGCTATTTGTGTGTGCCGTGTGTACGCGCGCTATTTGTGTGTGCCGTGTGTACGCGCGCTATTTGTGTGTGCCGTGTGTACGCGCGCTATGTGTGTGTGTGCCGTGTGTGTGGGCCCACACTCGCTCTCTACACACCTGGCATCGGCTCAGCTGCTCCCGGAGGACGAATTTTGATCACGTAGATAAAACTAATTTAATTTTAGCAGGTAAGGCTATATAGCTCTTTTTTTCAGAAGCGACCTGGGCACAAATGATAGTTCAACGAAGTGGCTTGTGTGGAAATTTATAGCAGCCGAATACTTTCAACGCGTATTGATTTTAAATGTGGAGAGACACGCAAACTCCAAATATACAGGCGTCAGGATCGGGATCGAACCTACGGCATCCCATTAAAACCAGGTAGTTAACCTTTTGCCACCATGTCTGCCCCAGCCCAGAGGTCGCAGCAGCAGCAGCAGCAGCAGCAAGAACAGTGGTGAACTCCTGTGTCCCACGTGTGCTCACCTGACCTCCCCAGCGGTAATTGTTTGACTTGAAGAGAGAAGGGTTTAGGGTTTTTTTGTTTATTTTTTTTTGCTTCTCGCACACAAATATGTTTTGGCGTCTTCTCGCAGTTTTATTCCTGGGGCACTTTTGTAGAGTCACATTACAAGACAAAGTTTCTGTTCAAAAACATCACACGAGAGCACGGGTACTCCCATTTGTCTTCGAATGGCAGTCAGAGATTTGAGATTTTCACAGGAATTATTGTGAAACGTCCTTAAAGTGTTTATTATTATTATGATGCTTGCACATGGGGTGGGGGGGGGGTACACTTCCCAACACACAAACTGCTTTAAAATTATAATTTGTCTTGTGAAATATTCGATTTTCCGAGCTGAGGTTTAGCCAAATGGAATGAAAAGCGAACGCTTGTTTTTCCACAATTTTACGAGATGAAGAATTAATTTGAAACTCCCACAACTGCAGTGCAACAGTCTGTGTCGGAGATAAATCGGAGATCTACCTGAGATCCCTTGAAGTGACTTCTGTTCAACACAGTATGGGGCAGCATATTCCCACCTGGTCTGGTACAGAGAAGTAAGGTTCTTCACGTGACATTCACGGCAATGTTTTCATTCTCAAAGCTGGAATTTAGACAAATTAAGTGCAGACCTAGATTTACTGTGATGTCATCAAGGGGCATAAACCATCACGTAAACTCCGGTCATCCTCGCAGCGGCTTTTGGCTAGCCATCGAACAAAGACGGTCACCGCATCTCACGCTTTCAGATGCGCTTCTGCGGCCGTCTGGAACGCTCTTCCTTCCGATATTAGGATGTCACTATAGCTATGCACTTTACGTCATCCAGATTAGAAACTAGTTTCTTTAGAAGTGCTTTTTGTGTTTAGTTTGTCCCCCCCCACCATCCGCACCTCTGATTAGCATGGTTGGTTACGTACGGTGCGAAAGAAGTTCAACATACATGTGTTTTTGCATTGTCATTGGTGACTGGGCTCAGACCATCAACCAAAAAAATACAAAAATACACTTGAGAATCCAGTTTAATGAAAGGTGGCTGCCCTGAATTCTAACCTAGGATCGGGTCTCAGCGTACCATCTCAACCCTGTGACCTCTGATCCACCCGGTCAATCTCCATGTGATAAACAAAAGGCTTATTTAATGAGATATTTTGTGCAGTATTTGCTGTTTGGGCTGAAGCCATCAACTTGCTGCTGCACTTGAAATTTCCAATTTATTTCACAATTGGGTAAAAACCCGGATTTGAACAAAGTATCCAAGCAATGAGCCAGCGCTGCTAAATCCCACCCATGATTAAATTTGGTCCTTCTATACGAGCTGAGTTTATAGTTTCAGCCCGGTTAGGAATGGCAGCACACAGCAAAAACCATCACGTAACAAAAATCACAGAAATTGCCAAAAGGAATAATTTTGCGAACTAAACCTTTTCATTTGATTGCCATGCAACAACAAAATACATATTCTATATCCAGGAGTATGGAAAAGTGCAGCTCCAATTTCGGTGGTTGAAAGGTCACTTTGGAGATATTTCAGAAGGCGTTATATAATACTCGCCTTTTGCCTGTCCAAGGACGGGTGCATTGCAGTAAATCTGAAACTTGCAAGCAAAAAGCAGACCACAACGTGGTATTCATTGCATTAATGCGCGTGCAATTTTTGAGGGCACGGTGACACAGACCTATTTCATTTTAAGGTTATAATCCCTTGTTCATCATGACCTCCTTTTTACTTCTATGTCTCAATAGCGTTAAGGAGATCGCGTGACGCGAGGGTTCTGCCTTTGTAATGAGGAGGGGGGAGGAGGCGCCTCGGCCCCCCATGTGGAGTGACGTCAGCCACTAATTATTATGAACGAGGGGGGGGGGGGGTGTCTGTTTGGAGGACATCACCTGTTCATGATTATTAATGAGGGGGCTGGGCAACGTAGAGTGACGTCACGAGCGTTGCACACAGACATTCTTGGCTTAGTAGGTAATAATAATGGGGGGGGGGGGGGTGTCCATTTGGAGGACGTCACCTGCTCATGAATAATTAATGAGGGGGGCTGGTAGATGTGGAGTGACATCGCGAGCTTTAAGGACATTCCTGGGTGATTATAGTAGGTATAATGGCAAAGTGCACGAAATTGTACCTAAACAAATTTAAGTTTCCGCTCCTCCTTTCTGCTTGTGGAGTGACGTCATCGTTATGACGCGGGGGTGGGGTACCCAATATGGAGTGACATCAACCGTTCATGATTATTAATGAGGAGGGGTGGGGGGTGTCCATTTTCAGGATGGCACCTGCTAATGAATATTAATGAGGGGGGCTGGTCGACGTTGAGTGACATCACGAGTGTTCAGGACATTCCTGGGTGATTATAGTAGGTATATCACCTTCTATGGAGCGTTCTCGTATATACAGGGTGATACATCAAGTCAGCTCGAGTTCCACTTGAATTCTATTATCTCACGTTATGACACCAATAGCATAATTAAAATATAATTGGCATGTAAAAAACACCAAAATAGAAATTTACACAACTTTCCCTGGGTCTTTGTTTCTTCCCCAGATGTTATAATGCATTAAACAGGGTCACTACATTCCGCCCTTCCTCGCTAATGTTTCTTAAATAAAATTGCAACGTACAACAAACGCATGGGGGTTAGAACCATTACCTCCAATTACATCAACACTGAACATATTGCTGCCCTATTGACTTGCTCGATGCTACTTCTGCTCGGTACACGTAGAATGTTGTTGGTAAGTTGTTGATAGGTCGAGGAGGTGACATGGCTCATTGGTAGCTCATCTGCCTCTTGTTGCAAGGTTTGTATTCTAAGATAAACTCTTGTTTATTTTACCAAGTGAGGCCCACTGAGCTAGACAGCTCTTTTTCAAAAACAACCTGGCCACAAATGATAGCTGAATAAAGCGGCTTATCGCGTGGAAATTTCTAGCAGCCAAAAATGATAAACGCATGTTGATTCTAAATGTGGAGGGAAAAACCGGAGGATTCGGAAAAAAACCCACAACCACAGGGAGAACATGCAAACTCCAAATGTACAGGCGTCATGGTCTGGATGGAACCCACAGCCTCCTGCATACCAGGCGAGGTAGTTAGTAACTCACCCCCATGGTACCCCAGTTAAAATCCGGCAGGCCTGTCCTATCTATAACTGTGAGTATATTAACCAGAAAATGTGCGGTCTGCTTCGCAGTGGGCCTTAAAGATACCCCGACATCGTTTTAAAGGAGTAGGCCATTGTGTGTCTGTGCCATGATCCAAATGCTAAAAATGACTCCATTGGTATTACAAACAGCAGCAGTCATCACTTCCTACTGGCAGACTGATGCCCGATAGCAGGCCAAGTGCTGAGGGGACAGCTGCCACTGTTTGAAACAAGATGCAATGCAAGTCACTTAGAATCCCTGGCGGTAAAGGAGGACTCTCTATCGAACGTTAATCACAATCATTCATATGTGGTTACTGGCTTGGAAATTGTGCAATGAGAATTTTGAGATAGATTTTGCATTTTGGACCCGCGTGATAATTTCCTGAACTGCCTGATATTACGGTGGAATGAGTATTTGCAGATGAGAGATTGGGCACAGGCCACATGCACGTACGACGTGCACACATTCATCCTGCGTTTTGTTACAGAGGAAATCTGGGCCTCCCCTTATCCTGCCACCACTGGTGGAAGCGGAGGAGGAGTGGGAGAATGGCGACTGTGGGATGGTCCCTCCAGCTGGCTGCGGCTCTCCATCGATAAACGCAGACGATGCATCACTTGATCGGGTATGACAGCTCATGCCGTCAGGAGCACTCACTGTCTCAAATATATATGAAATTAAAATAAATAAAATAATAATAATGAACAGGGTCGGGTACAGTTCTTGAGCCTCGCATCAGATGTACGTGGGTGAGTCCAACTTTTCCGCATTTACTTCCTGACCATCATTGACGTGTGTTCCACCACGGGGGGGGGGGGGGGGGGGAATACAATTTAATGCAATCAAGATTTCAAACTACCTTGGCAGCAGTGTGTCAGTTTTCGAAGTAGACTGAGATGGAATCTATTCAGAGAGTAGTGTGGCCATTTATTTGTGAGAGTCCGGGCAAGCTAATACGACAGCACTCACAACCGTCAAGCACTCGTGGGCGAGCCAATATATTTTTGGCATCTTGTCTTGCAGGACATTGCATTTTTCCAGACTTTCACACCAGAGGCCCTCCTGTCTGCGGTCGAGCGGATCGTGCAAGAACGCAGGAGGAGAAGTGGACCCCCAGTTGATCGACGCGAGCCAAGCGACAGCGGACTTGCCATCTCCTCCCCCTCTTGCCGCTCCACCACCGATACCAAAGGAAAATCAACGATCAGAAGAGGAGGACTTCGCCAACTCAGAAACTCTACCTTTTGATTTTACAGCTGCGGCAGCAGTGGCTGCATCCAGCCCGCTGACTGCTCTAATGGTGGAGGCTGACAACGCGGGGGTCCTGCCAGAATTGGCAAACGGCGGAGGCTTAATCTCCCGTTGTGTTAAGCAAGCGATTCGTGATAATTCGCCAACTAGGATGGCGCCATCCCCATCGGGTGCCAGGGATGAGCCCACGCAATTTGACGCGCGGCCACCTCCGAAGGCTCTGGCCGACGCGTGCGAGGCCAACTCGGACTTGGAGCCGGCGCAAGAATTCAAGGGGACGTTTGCCAACAGCGGCGCCGACGAACCGACATCTGTAGAACAGCAAGCAGCATCGAAGGGCACCGGCGCTGGCACGCAAAGGCGGGCGGAGATGCCCGCGCCCTCCGACATTCTGGACGGCGAACCGAAGCGCGGCGATGCTGGGCTGCGGGATGACGCCGGGGCGGCCGAAACCAACGACGCCAAAGACTTGGAGCCCCGCGGGGTTCCCGCTGCTGTCGCTGCCGCCGCTGAGAGCAAGTGGACCGCCGAGGCGGAGGAATCGCCGCCGGGCCCCTTAGCCCTGGCGAGGATGTGCGAGAACTTCGAGGGCTGGCTCGCCCGACTCGAGCACCGAGTCTCCGCTCGCGACTCCGTGAAGAGGCTCGAGTTTCCCCAATGCCGCGACGAGCTCAACGCGTTCGTGGTAACTACCGCCACGCAGCCATGACCCTGGGAGTCGCTTCACCCCCGTCGCAGTTGGCACTCCCCCAGGGAAATATTTACGCACCTGGCACACCACATCCAGGGTGCCTCTCGCTATTGGCTGTGGATCCTAACTACGTGCCTACGCCCAGCCTAGGAGCGAAGTATATAAAAAAAAGTCACGTGAAAAATGTATCCTTGGCAAATAAGCCTGGATTTGTGAAGGTAAAAAAGGGTTAAGGTGCGCAGCCCTGCAATCGCATGCTCATGTCACTGCTGGAAGAATGGTGTCCACTCGGGAGAGCTGCTGCGGAGGGTATTTGGCCTGCTCGTCCACGCTGGCCAGGCATCCTAGAATATGTTGCTCACACTGTACCCCCCCACTACATGTGACCTGGGGGCACCCATTTTAAAGCTGCTGGTTGAACAGAACACTGGAGGGTATTTAAGAAACGTGCCCCATTGTTTCAACTGTCATGCTGGGAGATGGAATCGAACTGGTGACCTCTGGACCGCAAGTCCAATGAGCTGACGCAAAATAAACTGGAGGCTGATTAAAATTTCAAAAGAGAGAAAAAAGCTACTGAAAGTTACGCACCTCGCTTCTCCCCCCAACCCATATTTCTCCCGCTGGTTCCTGGCTTTGACGCTGCCTGCACCCCCCCACTCTCCACCGCCGCCCCCTCCCTGTGTGCCAGGCAGTGCAGCACGAGGTGCAGCAGGGGCTGACGCATCTCGAGGAGCTCAAGGTGCGGCACCGCCAGCTGCTGTGCTCCCACGACCCGGGCACCGTGGCAATGCAGCGGCCACGCGTGCAGGCCTGCAACCACCGCTGGGTGGGCCTCAAGAAGGTGGTGGCAACGATCATCAAAACCCTGCGGGTGAGCGGGGTGCCTCCTTTTCCCCCGCACGACAGAGCCACGACAGAGCCACGACAGAGCCACGCCGGCGCGGTCTGGCGTGGATCGAGGGAGGCACGCCCGGTGTTTTTTTTTTCCACTGTAGAAACCGAGCTCTCCCGCTGACGTCGCACGCGGTGGAACGGGCCTGTAACACCCGTAGAAGATGTAGCGATGCTGCGTGTGTGGGTCATGCTGACGGACGTCGCGCGGTGAAAGAGTCGAGGCACTTGTAGGTGGTATGGTGGCCCTGTGTCCTCGCGGTCAACTGATGGACGTTGCATGCGATGAATGAGTCGAAATGCATGTAGTTGACAGTGACGCTGCGTTTGGTGAGCCATTTCTAAACTTGTGCCACGCTGGGATTCTGGACGGTTGCGCGACATGCTCGTCTCTCCGTGCACTTTTGTAGCGCTCTGTGGCTCAGTGGGAGGAGTTCGAGGGGGCGTGCAAGGACCTCATGGTGTGGCTCACGGAGACGGATCTGCGGCTCACAAACCTCGAGCACTTTGGCGAGTGCGAAGCGCAGGCCCGGAGCGACCAGCTCAGGGTATGGATCGTTTGTGTATTTTACCGTCTCTCAGCACAGGGACTGAAGGCCCAAAATGTCCAGTTGGGCCTGTACCAAATAGCGCTTGTAAAGCTGTAATCGGTGAAAGAACATGTGCGGGAGTGAAAAGAAACGATGGAGGTAGGAGGGCATTCTGAAGTGGAGATGCAAAGCGGCCTTTAAAACAAGTTTGCAGAAAGATCTTGATTTTGAAGCTTTCGTGACTGCAGGAATCCATACTCTTTGGTTCTTTCGGTAAATTCACGTAGGTAGAAAAATAATAGATCACGACGTTTTGATTGCAACACAAGCAATCGTTATTAGGTGGGACAATCACAGTAAGAAAAAACTGCTGAGGTCGGTGAGAGATCTGCCGTGGCACGAGGTTATATAGGCCTCGGCAGAAGGGGGGGAGAGAGAAGTGGGGGGGGGGGGGAAGGAGGCGGGGCACAAAGTGGAGCCCACACCAGCACCCGAGTCACTGGAGTAAAGTGACCTGGGTGCTACCACCTACGTGACGTTACCGAAAGAACCAAAGCGTTTGCAGAATGAGTTTGTTCATAATAAAGGTTTTTTTTGGTGAGATTGCATAAATATAAATGTCTCGCTAACCCACCACCACCTGACAGCCTATTAGTAAGGTTTGTCACGTGCCAAATAAACCCACAGTTGTAGATGTTGTGGGTTTACTCCCCATCACCGGTGTGCTGAAGTCGTTACTAATTGGCACGTTTTGTTTACGCGTCAAACCTTACTAATTTGCTGTGTCATGTGGTGGTGGATTAATAACATTTATTTTTTATGCTCTAACCTAAAAACCTTTATTATGAATAATATTGGTCGCGAAGGCCTACGTGTTAAGCTGAATTTTGGTCCGTTCATGGTCGTTCAGCCGTGTGCTTATAAATGCGGGTCCCCCTTCTAGAAGTGATCACCATCCGCACCAATGCACTGGGTTGCCACCTCTGAGATACAAACAAAAGGGACTTTGCAGTAAATGTGGAGAGTTGGACCAATGTGTTCCCGATGCTTCGAAACCACATGCCAACTTTGAACCAAATGTTCATGGCATATCATGGGAATAAGAATATCTCACAACAGAAGAGGGGAGAACTGCATGTAAACACATTGTCTTGAGTGGTGTCTTATTATTAGTTACACAACTGACACGACACAAAACAGGACGTTTAATGCCTTGGGAAGACTTAACAGATTTCACAAGATGGGACAGGTGCCAATCCTGCCGATACATCATCCTCATCGGTGGATGCGTCGCTGCTTGAAGTAGCTCTGGGAGTCTTCAGCCGATGAGTATTTCAGTTTTCCTCTTCACATTCGTTGAAATGCCCTCGGTGCCTTTACAACAGTGTCCAAGCAAAGCGAGATGTATTGAAATAAAACAATTCTCTGAATCTCATATTTTCTAAAACTGTCCTTCCCAGCATTGCAAAAGGGTTAAGCAGTTTGGTAGAAAGAGCTTACAATTTGGCACACTTATTAATTTATTTGTAAGGTGTTTTTCGGGTCGCAAAACACGTGTTTGTTGTCCGACGTTTCACTCCCAAGTGCTGGGAGCCCAAAGAATACACGGTGCAACCCTGAAATATGTTTATGTAATTATATACTAGAGAGCTGCACAGCACAACCGCCAAAGCCTTCACAGTTATATTTACTTTTTATTTTTATCACTTTAACACAAGTCCCAGTTGCTCCTATTGCCAAAGCTATATAAATATACTGCTTATATGAAATCCACTTTACTAGATTTTACGATGTCAGTTAACGGGGGATTATTGGTGTGATAATGGGATTTCGGTTTTGAGTTGCCGACACATGCAACGGCTAACGGCGCTGCGTAAGGATTGTATTTTATGATTCCAAGCTGGTCTTCTGCCTCCTTGGCTAGGCTTCGCCTTGTAAAAGAGATTATAGTGTAATTGGGACTTGCCTATTAAATATAAAAAGTACAACGGCACAAAAAAGAAGTTTCAATGTTAATGAATACTTAAGGTAATTCATGGAAAGTGAGAGTTTTTTTCTTCATCTTCAACGTCCCAATGTTTCTGTGCCTGGCAAATTAATACTTGCCTTTTAAAACCCCCTTTGATTCATTGCTTTCCCTCTTCACATGCGTTTAACTCCCGCACCCCCCCACCCACAGGCATTCCAGGAAGAATTGGCGAAGAGGCAGAAGACGCTCAACAGCCTGCGGAAGCAGGCCGAGCGACTCGGGGAGGTGGGACCGGCCGGGCACAGGCTGGAGGAGGCCCTCAAGTACTTCACGGAGACCTCGGTCCGCGTCACCCGATACCTCGGCAGGTCTGCCAACATCTCCATGGTATGGCCAGGAGACAGCGGGGTGACCGTGTAAACAAGGGGGCCACCCCGATAGGTATGGTAGGGATTTTCATTAGGAACATGAGTGCGGTCTTTATTAAACAGATAGTGGTTCATTATGCCTTGACGCAGAAATTAATTCTATATTTTTATTATGAATCTTTAAACTTTTTTTATCAAGACAAAAAACTAAACAATAGGTGATTAGCACATCTTGATTAGCTAATTAGATGTACTCAATTGACTTTTTTGTTTCTTTGTTGTCATTCTCTGATAGCCACCAGATTCTGGAGAGGGTGAGGGAAGCCCTCCAGAGACTTCCGGAGCCGCTCATGTGACGAAACCCAGGACGAGTGTCGAGCCCAATGGACCAGGTTGCCGCCAATCTCAAATTCCCAAACCCGAGCGCAGCTGTCGGCCACGTGAGACCCGCGTGAGCCACCATCATCAGCCACCTGCATCGCCACTGGCGGTAATTTCCGGCAGCGTCATTGGCGACACCTCGCTCAGCCCTTTGGGATTTCGGAACTCGCCGGTGCCGGGACATCGTAGCCCCGAAGCGGTGACACCGACAGGTGACGTCGCGGGCCGGTGTCGCCGTCTCACCTCCACCCCTGTTGAAGACGCGTCGCGCAAAACCTCGGAGGAGGCCTCCGGAGGAGAACTACTTTACATGGGACCTGCAGAGCACGACTCTTCAGCAGAACGGCGGCGCGATTACGAGCCGGCATCAGGTCGTGAATCGCTCGCGTCTGACGCGTGGACCGCGTCCGCGAGCAAGGACGGCCAGGAGAGTGGAGCGTCTGTGAGAACTCACGCCGAGCTGTCATTTGCTCGCGAGTCGCCCTCCAGCCTCGATTGGTCCCTGAGGCCTGCGCACGCCCGTCAAGGGAGCCCGTCGCTCTCCCTGGAGTGGGACAGCTACGACGTGAGAGTGGCGCCTGGCGGAGAGTTGCAGGGAGAAAACTCTTTGGGACTCGCGCCCACCGAGACAATGCCGTCGCTGGAGGAGGGCGATGCTGTGAATAGCAGAGCGAGCGGCGCATGCGGACGGGCAGAGAGAAAGGCGTGTAGGAATGAAGGCAAACGGATTTGCAGTAAGTATTGATTGAAGAGAAAAAAAAACGCACACAAACGGCACCATCGATAGAAACTGTCTTGTTGCCGCAGCTTCTGCTATAATAGTGGCTGAGCACAGGCCCAAAGGCCCAATACGCCCAGTATTCCAAGTGGCTAGCAACAAACAGTACTTGGAGGTGTAATATGTGAGTCTATAGGTTTCTTGAGTGGTGGGGGGAGGGGGGTGGTTATGTAGAAATTGGCTGCACTGTATAATATATATATTTTTTATACGGATAAAATACTGGCCAACAGTACAACAAACAATATTATAGCTCGTAACAGTTAAATGTAGGTCAGGACTTTACACACAAAAAACCAGAGTGGAAGGCTATTGATCAAGGGTAAAAAAGAGGTAAAGATGCAGCCCTGAAATTTCTCCTTCATGCCACTGCTGGCTGAAGGGCCCCCACTAGAGGGAGCTCCAGAAAGGGCCCCTCTTGAGAGCAGTTGACCTACTCTTCTACGCTGCCCAAGATTCCATCGGAGCAAGTGTCTTTTTACTTTACCCGACTGCACGAGACCTGTCGATCCACTCGCTGTGCTGTACCCATTTTTAAACTGCTCGGTGAATGGAGGCGTGGCCAATGAATGCGATTTCCCTTCGTTTCAAATGTCGTGCTGGAAGATCAAATCGAAGCAGCGACCACCAGATGAAAAGTCCAGCGTGAAAGCCATTTACACCCTGGCAGAGTCCCGTGATATAGCTAGAAGGAAGAGCAGTTACATGGTTTTTAAGTTAAATTTATTTGAAATGCAGATTGAAATTTGATTGAATCTTCTGTACTTCAAGGTGTGGGATCACCACAGAATTACGTGGTAAAGTGCTTATGAGCATTTGTGCTGAGAATTAAGAAAGCGCTTTGCTCTTGTTGTTGTTTTTTGGCCGGTGCTGTTCGTGATTGCGGAGTGCAAACACACAGCAGTGGTAAGAGGGGTTCCAGGCCACTGGCTCAAAGGAGTCCACAACAGTTATTTTTTTAATCTTTTATTTTACTTACCCAGGATAGCCCGAGCCTCAAGACTTTTTTCAGAAGGGGTTCTGCTAAGTTTTGCGTGGTCGGGGGCGAAGTTGCTGTGCGCAATCCCGATTTGAATCCTTTACCGTTAAACGTTGAAGCATTGGGGATGATTTTTTTTCGACTATGGGAGGAAATTGCAAAAAAATCTTGAGGAATCCTATGCAGAACTGGGGGAGAAACATACAAACTCCAACCAGCAAGGCACCCGAATCCAGTCCCATTCATGCTGAGGCCACAAGCGTCATCACTGTGCCACCCTGCTGCCCATTGGTGTGCCTGTGCATTACCGTCGTCAATATTAATGGCGACGTTTGCTGCGATGGAGATTACTTTTTATGGAGGGCAGCCAAGAATGCTTTCGGAAAGTAAAGAAATAAAATCGCAATACAGTATAGGTTTCTCTTAGCAATATGAAAAAAATGTCGAAGTTTAACCTTGGCTGCCAACGAAATGGCAGACTAGGATGGCATGCATCAAGCAGCAGCTCGGTGAATTGGCTCAAGTCATGGAAAAGCCACAAATTCCACGTGCACATCTGCATTGTTACTCGGAAAAATAACTAACTTAATATCAAAGAATTCGTCTCTCCACAGAAACATAGATATTCGTTTAGTTCACCAGCCTGTAGCGATTTCCAAACCGATATTATCCAGTGCATCACGATTATGGCACCCCAACTAAAACCAGTGAAGCATCTATTCTGAAATCTCCGTGACTCACGTGTTGCACACTCGAAATGAAGGACGTGGGCAGGTGCTCCAAATCGAGGGCAAGCACATTTATTTATTGTGGTTAATATTAATCTTGTGAAGAACAGCACCGTCACTCTGTAAAATGCAAGAGCACGTGTTACACGCAGCAATTATTCCGAGTCGCCATTAACCATGTGGCTGGTTTACACGTGCGGTTATTCATTAACCCTTTCTCTTAAACCCAATTCTACTACTGATAAACCATCTTTGTCTTTGACAATCACATTTGCACATCACTATTCGAATATTACTTTAATCCTAAGCTGTATGTCTATCTATACCATCCACTTATATCGGTATCTTACACCCATTATATGTACTGTATGTGTACAGTATACATACTGTATATCACCATTGTACAGCTTACTACTTTACATGTGTTCTATTCTCAATAGCATTGCAAGTAGTCATACTCTGGGTACATGGGCATGGTTATAGACTAAACAGTATTAGAGTTAGAGAATTACAATGACAGTAACTAATTACAGTGCGTCATCCCTTTACAATGCACAGTGCTAAAACACCTCTAATTGCATATATCACAAACGAACAATTCAAAGCCAAGCTCAAAGTCTAGAACAAGTCTAGAACATTTATATAACGATCAAAAACAACCTTTTGGTCCTTTACCTGTAAAATGCAACAGCGCGTGTTACACGCAGCAATTCTTCCGAGTCGCCATTAACCATGTGGCTGGTTTACACGTGCAGTTATTCATTAACCCTGCCAGCCACCTACAGGCCCAACTCAGTCATCACATGCTGCTGTACACACATGCATTGATGCACTGCACAGCACATCAGGACTTTCACAGAACCACACTTTACTCCCTTGCTGCACAAGGACATAATTAAAAGAGTGATCCATTCCTAATGTGCCACACATGGAATGGCCGCCCTCTCCCGTGAGCGGGTTTTGATGCGTGGCCGTCATCCCGATACGCTTTAATGTATAGCCAAACTAAAATATAGTCACCGTTGGCCGAAATAAAATATATACGTAAAAAAACACTTTGCGTCACTAATTTCATGAACAAAACTAGCACTGGACACCCGTTACAACCTCTAGGTTGTATGGTGCAGGTAAATGTGCAGCCCTGCAATTGCTTGCCTGTGTCACTGTTTAGCAGAAGGACCTCCAATATCGGGAGCCGTATAGCCCGTTTTACTAGAGGGTATTTTGATCTAATCATCCACGCTGGCTGCACGTCTTGGAAGACAATCGTTCCAAGTGGCTAGCCCACTTTCGGCCTGGCGGTCACAGCTGGCACTGATGGCCACCGTCGCCGTTGCATTTTCAGAAAGTGCCGTCAGAGACGTCGGTGACGTTGGTGTCTGGATGGACGGCGCAGAGGCACCCAGTCACGAAAACCACCTGTTCCTGCGGAAGAAGGAGTCCACCCACATCTCCCAGGTTTGTATCATCGCGCCTCCTACAACGCAGACCGCGGTCACGTGCCACGGTGCGACGGTCGGTGCACTGGACGCTGCGGGACCAGAAGGTCGCCGGTTCGATTCGATCTCGCGGCACTTTCCTAAAATTAATCCCCACCTCTGTCTACTCGACAGAATAAATGCGTGCACCGCAGTTAGTCGATCGGCAGGTCACGCGTAAAGCACGGGTACCCGCACCCCTTTCAAGACATTTCACTAGTGTGAATAGTAGTGAAAGATTAGTGTGGAAGAGTAGACCCAAGTGTAGTGAGTCCAACTGAGTCGCAGACATTATCTTGGGAGCAACACTATTATACAACAGCACGCAACACAACACGATCTACACTCAGGTCTCGAATGCCCATCTAACCATGCTACGGCAGAACTATCCCGGTCCGGACCACAAGCTGGGTCCCGGACCGCGTGGCTAGAGGCTTCTTCCCGACGTAGATCTTCATAACACCAGGACACGAAGAACCCCGAGCTCCTCACGGGGCCCTCGTTATATGCTCCCGGGCTGGGGCTAGCTCCGCCCTTCGCCCCGCCCACCTTCCAGGTCTCTCGAGCTCTTTCTCGAAGGTTCCCGAGAGCTCTTTTGGACCACGTGACCGCCTGGTGGCCTCCGTCCACCTGGTGGCACCCCTCCAATATCATCCGGTCACGTGTCAGCAGGTCAACCAGCGTATCATGCCCCAACGTAACCCTGGCTGGCTGACGCTCCTTCTCGCTCTCTCACCGGGAGCCCGCACCACACACTGCTCGTGGTGCCTCCGCGCTAACCAGCACTCACCCAAGCCCCGCTAGGGCTGGTACTACACCCCGTAACCCAGGCTGTCCATAATGACAACACATTATCCGCCGTGGCTTCGTAAGCCCCGGCACCATACAGTGACAACCACAGTCACTACACAAGTACTCTTTTTGGGGGCGGGCACACTTTCTAGAGCTCCCTAGAGTGGGGAGGCCCTACCGCCAGCAAAGGCGCAAGCCGGCAATTGCTGCGCCTTTGGATTTTGAACCAATATCTGAAGCACGAGACCTCCGTCAGCAAGGACTGTCGGAATTTACTTTGTCCATTTTTGGCCGCCACTCTCCACCTCATTTGTATTCCTGTTAACCCTATCGCTTACAGAGTGCCAGGACACGGTTTGGTAATTAATTCACCTCCATGGTAGCTGCACACTTGTGTTGCCCATATCATGTGCAACCAGCGCTTTCAATGGTATTACACACCAAAGACCACAGATTAATTATTTTTTTTATTTTTTTCCCACCCCCTCCCGTGATATTAAAATAATTGGCCGTGGATGTAAACCCCATCCTTCATGTCTTTAATACAGATTTGTTCAGGTTGGGTTTTTTTCCATGCAATATGTCACTGCATATTGATAGCGTTTCATAACAAAATCCCCTTGTGCAATTGGATTCTCAAGCCACATTGTTCTCATCAAGTGACGGGAAAAAATAATTAACTTGGTAACACGTACACACTCACATTATTCGGCTGCATCGTTTAGTGACAGGACACTTCATTGATATTCACGACTGCCACACTTTTGTAAATGCAGTAATGTTGTGTGGGATCTTTAATATCCGCAAAAACAGCGAATGCTCCGCTTTGGTGATTACCCGCAGTGGTGTGTGGAAACTGACAAATTATTGGGCACGATGTATGCAGTGGAAAAGGCCATCTTCGATTAAAGTTCGTGTTTGCAGTGTTCAAGCGAAGATTTGTGCCTTGTGCTTTCTGAACCTGATCTGCGAGCCGCATGAATTGAGCTTTGAGACTCGGACGAAAAAGTATCTTCCTTTTGGTGAGTAACTTTGTTGGCCAGTCTTGTGTAAAGCTCATGAAAAAATGTTGATAATTAATGAGTATTGTGTTTTCGCAAGCAAAACAAGGCTCTGTCTGTGTTGCTCCGCTCGCAAAAAAACACTGCCCTATTAAAAAATATTAATAATTCTTAACGACTTACAGTTAACATCTTTCAAATAAAAGTAACAATTCGAGGACCACCATGATGTTGTTCGCACTCCCGCGGGTAATTTACGTGATTTTTCTTTTAATAACGACAGGGTGGGATTGGGAAATACCCAACTCGCGTAACGCCACTGACTGCAATTTTACACCGAGAGCTAGTCACTGCTGCGACTGCACAAACAGTGGTGTGGTCGCCCTTGGGGTTCCAAGATATACATTATATTTGGGGGGAGTGGGGCTTTCAATTTCACATTCCTGCGGAGGGAGCTGGAAGGAACGTTGGGTTGCTCGGTCAATGGCCAGGGTCAACGGCGGCCTGGTGTATTCCGCAAATATGCCCAACTGTGAGGGTGGGCACATGCCGGCGTGAGTAGGTTAAACGTTGAGTTTTATAAGGGAACCACGGGGTGACCAGCCCCTCCCCACCCAGCCCCTCCCCACCCAGCCCCTCCCCACCCAGCCCCTCCCCACGCTCCCTCCCCCACCCAGCCCCTCCCTCCCCACCCAACTCCTCCCTGCACGACGGACAGACACAATAATCCCCGTGGGATGGTGTAACCAGGAGGTTCCTACCAGTATAAAATCCCAGTGAGATGACAGAACAGCTTCGAGATGAGAGCTGATTAGAAGTAGTGAGATATAGGGAATGTAGATGAAAATGGAAGCGCCGTGAGGTGAGTGGGAAGACAACGAAATAAGTACACGAAGCAATTTGGACAACTGAATGCAACTAGGTTAATCTAATTTCAACATTATTGAGTAATATCTCATGGACGGCGCTTGATGGAAGGCAACGATCGCCCGACGTCTTTGAGAAAGGACCCGGAGCACACATCGAGAGAGTATGAGACTAAGAGAAATGCACACAGGGTAAAAATGTTCATAATAAAGGTTTTTTTTTTGGTTAGGTATAGATGAGAGACATTACTTCGCTTTGATTAATCTGATTGGCTGACATTGACGACATCACATTTACCCCTCTCTATTTAAGACGGACACAGGAGGATTTCTCCACAACCCTGGCTGTCACCTGATGAGGCTGGTTGTAATTACCGTCGAAACGTTGTACTCTAATTGTAAATGATGAGGGTTTACTATCCAACAAGCCGTAATTGGCACGTTTTGCTGACCTGGCAAACCTTACGAATTGGCTGTGTGTCGGGTAGTTGCGCGTTTAATGTCACTTTTTAATATTTATGCGATCTAACCCAACAAAAAAACACACGATTAGGGATATTGGTCGTAAAAGCCTGTGTTAAACTGACTAAATCTCTGTGGGGAGGATACTTTAAATTTGCATGGTTAGTTTAGGATATGAATTTGAGCTGATATTTCACGTACCGTTTTTTTTCCATGAATCCATGGGTTTTAAGTAATTTTATAAAGTTTAATGTCTGTGAAATGCAGGTAGAAATGTTATGAAATCTTCTGTCATTCGGAGTGTAGGATCGCCACAGAATTCTATGGTAAAGCGTTATCAGCATTTGTGCCGAGAATCAAGAAAGCGCTTTGGTCTTGTTTTATGGCCAGTCCTGTCCATGATTGCTGAGCGCAAACACAGCGGTGATAGAGGGTTCCAAGCCACTGGCTCACAGGAGTCTTTGACAGGTTTTTTTAAATATGTTTTATCTTTTATTTAGTATTACTGGCCCCTTGAGCAGCTGCTAGGGGCTCCCTCGGCCCACGTTTTAGTTTGCTTATGCCGAGCGCCGCCACGGCTGCCGCCACCACCGCTGGTCTACAGCGTGCCAGACAAAAAGTTGTGTTTGGCACAATGGTGCGTCTGAGTCGCACACACACGGCTACAGTTAGAAACACTGCCAGAGCGTGTGGCATTACCACTGTACTAACACCCAACTACGGTTCACGCCACTAGCCCATTGAGCCCTTCCCAATCCCTCTGCGAATTGTGCGCGCTGTCCGGGGCTCACGTTGCCTGTTAGCGACACAATAAATGTTTTTCCCTCCAGGAGCGATGAAATGCGTATGTGTGCGTATGTTGAACTTCTTTTGCACCGTACGTAGTGGCTGATTTTATGCCATACGTGTAGTGGCTGATTTTATGCCAATTATTTAGCTGAATCTTACCTATAGGCTAATGGAGCGGGATCCAACTTCTACACGCGAGGTGAGGGAAAAAAAGTCACGAAACAAGACGAATGAGTTCGTAAGGAATTGATTTTGTTCTTGGATCGTTAAATGTGTCGTTGCGTAACTGCCGTTTGACATTCAAAGGGGGCGAGGCTCGCCAGCCTTGGACGGATTGACCGGCACGCAGTCCACGTCGTTGAGCAGCTCGCCTTGTAACAAGCCACCGCGAAGTGGGGCCCCTGTGAGGACGATGGGGACGAAGGGGCTGTTGAGGGGTACACCGGCAAAGACACATGCGCGCAGAGGGACACGGAGAGAGATCGAGAGAGACACGCGCACACACACGGAAGCAGAGACACAAGACACAACAGAGTAACAGATGCAGAGAGACGTGGGCAAATAGAGAAAGAGGCAGTGAGAGATTTACCCAGAGAGGCAAAGAGAAACTTGCACCAAGAGAGGAAAGACAGAGAGAGTGTTATACACAGACTGGGACAGACTGTCTTTCTCCGTTTCCCTGTGTCTCAAAGAAGCAGAGTCACAGACACCGAGTTACAAGCACAGATATGGAGTGTTATGGAGAGATGGATACTGAAGGACAGAAGCAGAGACACAGACAGGCTTTTAGAGGCAGCAGACAGAGAGTCATACACAGTTACAAATGCTGAGATAGATGTGTGGAAAGACGCACAAAGACGAAGACCCCCCTTATAGCTTTAACCAACTATTGGGGCAAGTGCTGTTAGCGAGCACCTCTGAAGGCCGGCATGGCACACGAGGGGGTGGGTTGCCACCACCACGCGCAGCCAGCCGCCTTTGTCTCCCGAGTGGTGATGTTTACACACCGCACCAGGTATTCATTTGAGGCTGAGTCAACCTAGGGAAGGCCCCAGGACCCTTTAAAATAA